CAAAAGTGGCTCCAGGCCCAGCTCAGCAGAAGACCAAGCAGAAGTGAAGCCGTCCAGAGCCAGGTTCTTCAGGAGCTGAGCACCACCTGATGAACACCCTCTTCCCATCTGCCTCTGTCTCAACTTCCAGTAGATGTCACAATCAACATGTTGTCACCCTGAGTCGTGGTCTCTGTCTTATTCATATTCTAAATCTATTATTATAAATTCTTCCCCTGTGCACATTCTGAGAAGTACTCTGAGTCTCTGAACTAAACAGAAGGTCTTCGTTCCTGTGTTTGCTCCAGTTGCTCAGAGATCATTTGAAGAGGAATTCTGGATGGGAAAAATAAATGTGTATTTCTGCTCTTTCCCATTAAATTACTTTTACCTCTGTTCCTGGCTGGGTGTCAGTGGCTAAATTTCCACCCTTTCTTGGTCTCCCGTTGTGAGTCAGAGCGTATGGACAGGGAGGGGTTAGTGTATGCATCATTTGTTAATCCTGGCACTGTGCACTCCTGTGAGGTTATGGAGACACATTCAGAGGGCATTACAGGGATAGCAGCAGGGTATTGTGCAATGACAGCCAGAGCCTGTCACCTTGGGCAGCTATAGGTAGAACAAGACTCTCTTCTTACTCTGGCTGAGTCACATCTGAGTTCCATGATGTCGGTCCCAAGCCACTCCTGATCCTCAGTTTTCTGCCTCTAAGTCTCCTCCTCCTTCCAAGAATACATTATTCCTTCGCCCTTGAACCTCGTGTTGTTTTTCTTCTCTCGTTTTTTCCTTTCCAGGACACGTATTCTTCCACACGTTGTCACCGAGGCACCCTCAGTGTGCCTTTCTACACTTACATAACCGCCTACACAAATTCCACACTCATTGCTCAGCCAGTGCTGCCTTTGCTGGGCCCCGGCCCTGGGCACAAAGTCCTGTAGCTGGACCAGCGTGCGGGAGGAAGATGCACTGCACTTTCCCTGGGAGAATTTGCAGTTTTCCCTAGGAGTTTGGTGCCTGTGCCCTTCTCATCTAAACATGTGCACATAACACCCTCTCCCTCTCTCTATTCCCCATCCCTCTTTTTCTCTTTCCCCCTGAATAACCCACAGAAAGTTTTATGCATTGATTTCAAATAAGAGGTGAGTTTTAACGAGTGACTAGGGCAGGAATTTAAATTCAGGTGAGGCAAATAACCAGTTAACAAACTTGCAAATGAACAGGGCACACGCTGTGAACTCTAGGAGTGAAAGGAGTGCTTTAAGAGCACCTTCAAGTTTTCAAGAGCCCGGTTTTCTAGAATCCCAAACAGTCTGGTCTTCTTGATCTCAGAGGTGAGCCACAGGGGCATGGATCTATGAGGAGAAGCAGAAAAAAGAAAAAAAAAAAGCAATGTAAAATTTCGGAAGGACTCCAGGATTCATCCGTTGACTAGTCCATAACACCAAGAGGTCTGGGGCAGGTGACGGGGAGTACGTACCTGCAAGATGCACAAGTGCTTTGGGAAGGTTTGGCAAGAGCTCAGAGATGTTTGGAAACCGTAAGATAAAAATCGTCTAACAGATCATTACAAGATGATGAGTAGTTGTCAAACTGGCAGGAGAGAATGACGTACCTTACGTGTTAGACACATGTTGAGGTGGCTTCACAATCCTGCTGATCTCAGTGGTAGGAAAGGCTAGAGGCGATTCCAAGACTGATCACAATGAAATAGGCTAATTCTGGGCGGGGAAACGGGCTTTATGATACAAAGCTATTGTGAATGAAAAATAATACACTTTCATGGCTCATATTATTTGGGGTTGCTTTTTAAAATACATTTTTATTGTGGAAAATATACGTAAAACAAAATTTACCCTTTTAAACATCTTCAAGTACACAATTTTGTGGTATTGATTTCGATTACGTGTTATGCATCTTTGCAAAAATACATGCTTGTATGCAGGTTTATAGACGATAAACAAAAACCCTGATATTAAATTCAGCAAAATGTAAACTGTAGTCATTTTCAGCTGCTTTTTGTGAATGCTCATTTTAATAGCTCTATTTTAATAAGTATTTTAATATCTGTTTCCCAAAAGAACATGTATTATATATTATTTCATATTTATTTTTATAAATTTTATTATCATATTTAAAATAAGAGAAGTCAGACAAGATGTTGCTGAGATAGAAGAAAAATATATTTGCCCACAAAAGCTTTCCTGGGCTGTGCCCAGATCCCATACGGAGTCCCAGGGTGGGGGCTGCTTCCTGGTTGAGTAGCCATGGGGTCTTTCTTCCCTGCATATCCTCATCAGGATTCCTCCTCTTCTGTGAAGGATCCTGGGGCACTCCAACACCACCCACTCTGGAGCCCAGGGGCTGCCCGTCTTGCCATCTGACGGACAGCTGATGCCAGTTAAGTGGGCAGTCGGGCCCTTCCGGCTTCAGCAGCGCTTTTCCCTCAGCTCCTCTGTGACAGGGCAGAATTGTCATGCCGTCCATTGGGCGAGCCATTTAGAAAGCAGTGAAGAGCTTGAAGTCCAGACTACACAGATTGCACACTTTGGCAGATTTCATGTCCATAGACTGATTGCTGATCTTGTGCAGATTTTTAAAAAAACGCACATTTTGTTTCTCTTAACGATTCTTTCTTGTTTTCTACACCTTTGTTTCTTCTTCCTACTGCAGCCATGACCTTATAGTTGTTGGGGGAGGCCGAGTGCAGTGGCGCACACATGCAATCACAGTGGCTCAGGAGGCTGAGGCAGGAGGATCACGAGTTCAAAGCCAGCCTCAGCAACAGTGAGGCGCTAAGCAACTCAGTGAGACCCTGTCTCTAAATAAAATAAAAAATAGGGCTGGGGATGTGGCTCAGTGGTCGAGTGCCCCTGAGTGCAATCCGTGGTACAAAAAAAAAAAAAAATAGTTGTTGGGGGCAAATATTTACTTTCTGGCTCAGATAGAAACTGGTTATGAAGGCAGTTTGCTGTACTGTCCTGGCCCTCCGTATTTCTGACTGAAATAAGTCTCACAATGGATCCAGGCCAACCACTTTCCCAAACTATTTTTTGTTAGCCCCCAACTTAATTTTTCCAGTTCTGTCTCCTCTCTTCTGTTTTATGCTCTACCTACATCTGATCTCCTACCTGATCCCTGCCACCTCACAGGCCTCCCACGAACAAGTTAACCATCTGGGAAACTGACCCAATATGCTGCAGCTTTTGCCAAACTGCCCTGCACTTCCCACACTTGCCACATCGAGATTCCTGCAGGGACACCTGAGTTCTCCAGACTGTCATGTCCACAAGGGCAAGAACCTTCTGCCCATTCAGGGCTTCTCCGAAGACTCAGGGCTGAGCTTGCTGCCTGCCAGGTGGTAGGAGTCAGTCCACCCCTGCAGAGATGCTGAGGAAAGGTTTGTGCCTTCACTGAATGGTGCAGGGGATTTGAGGATGTCTGCACTCTATTCCCCAAACACAGCCCCCTCCTGCCTTCAGCCTGATCCTCCCCATCCATGCTCACCTCCCTACACATCTTAAGCCACAGTAGTCCTGAGGGCAAAAGCCACTTGCTCTTTCCTAGCTGTATCTGCAACACCCTTGGAAAGAGGTGTCCTGTATCTTCTGGAAGACTAGGAGAAAACTGAGATGGTTTCTTTACCAAACCTAACCAAGAGGTTCCCAAATATGAACCTGTCCCCTTTTCTTTAAAATGATGATAAAGATGATAGAAGATTAGGAAGACCCAACATCAATTTCTTATTTAAAAAAAATTACAAGAAATGTGATAAAAAGTTTAGGACTATGGGATATAAAGTATAATTATCAATAGTATATTAATCTATAATTTATGACATAAGTTGAAGTTTTATTTCCTAGAACTACTTTTTTAATTCATTCACATATTTTTCATTGATTTTTTTCTTCTAACGCACTCTGTATTTATTTGGTTATGTTAGTGGTGATGCTTTTTAAATTTTTCCTAATGCATTATAACAACAAAATACCTGAACTTTTTCACAAATCAGTTGATGAGACTTTCATCATGCCATTTGTACCTGGATACATTACTTTAAAATGGAAACTTAGTTTGAAAACACTTGAATCATGGTTCCTATAATCACTTTTATTAATTCAATTGACATCTTTTACCACATTCTGGTAATCAATGTTCCTACCACTATAACAATGGAGTAAACAATGGCCAAGCAAAATGTACTATTCGTGTGGTTTATTGGTCAGGGTATGTTCTCTTCTGTAACAAAAATCCCCCAAAGTCTGTGACATCGTGGAATAGAATCCTATTTCTCATCCATTCCGTGGTCCTTTGTGGACTGGCGGAACTCGCATCCTTCCATTCTGTGACTCATAACCCACAGCACCCTCCTTCCATTGTACCCTACATGGCAGATAGGAAAAGAAGTAATAGAGAAAGAACGCTTGAAAGAAGTGGAGGTGATCATCTGCACTCGGGTGACGTTGCATTAGCTAGATGTCAACCACAGGGTCCCACACCACAACACAAGGCTAGGTACCCAAAATGGAGATGGGGATGTTGTGATCACTCACAGTTCAGCCACAGTCCAGCCATCTGGGATGTTGGTTTTATTCTAATTCTGCATAGACATATTCACCTGTGCCCTCAGAAACCCAACTCAGAGTCCAGGGAAGCCACAGATCCACATCCCAGTCCAGGATCTTTGGGTAACATAGAGTCCTCTCCATCATGTCCTCTCAGTGTGGCTCTTCTTAGTCCAGAAAACTGGAATATAAGGAGCCAGTTGGCAGCAGTGGGATAGGGATTGGATAACCCCAACAGAAAGGAGAAAAGAGATAAAAGACCGACAGCTAGAACCAGAGTCGTAAGAACTCTGACCGGCCTCTGAGTGTCATGTGGAGGTCCACCCTCCTATCAGGGGATGGCACTGCATAGGAATGCAGACCAATGGAATAGAAGACACAGAGACAGATCCACATAAATACAGTCATCTCATCCACTTCGTATGTCCTCGGCTCCTCTCTGGAAGGTGGTCTTGGTGTCGGGAGGTCATTCACTGTTCATTAGCTGCCTGAAGTGGGTTGCACAGTACAACCGAGCTGGCTCTTCTTGCCCCCACAGCCGTTTCAAGACTTTGAAACACTCACACTTGGCTCATGGTTTCTTAGGGAAAAAAAAAACAAACGAGCAATTTCATCAATAATCTAGCAAGCTTCTGATTTGTTTCCAGTAATGATTATTACTGGATAATTATTGATCATTATTCCCTTGGCAACGGTTTTCAGATTCCTTTCCTTGACCTGATTCTCAAGGCCAGCCTTACTCTCCTTCCATTCCCTAGCTCTCCTGTGCTTAAACACCTTCTGCCCAGGGCTTTCCACAAGAATATGGGTAGGAAGACACGACATCCTGAATCTCACCTTTTCCATAAAGGTCAGTCTTTCTGTTTATTGGTTCTTTTTAATTATACGTGACAGTAGATTCCATTTTGATATGATTATACAAGTACGGAATGTATTTTATTCTAATAGATCCCAGTCTTGTGGAAGTACATGGTGGTGAGAGTCCCTGTGGTGTAGTCATGTATGCACTTAGGAAAGTTATGTCACATTCACTCCACTGTCTTTCCTTTTCTTATCGCCCTCTCTTCCATTCATTCCCCTTTGTCCTTTGTCTAAACCACTGAACTTCTCTTTTTTCCCTACTGTCCCCTTATGTGGGTCAGCTTCCACATATCTAAGAAACATTTGACCTTGGGGTTTGGGGGATTGGCTTATTTTACTTATCATGATAGTCTCCAGATCCTTTCATCTACTGGCAAATATCAGGAAGTCATCCTTCTTAATGGCTGAATAATACTCCATTGTGCATATATACCACATTTTCTTTATCCATTCATCTGTTGAAAGGTTTCTAGGTCAGCTTCATAGCTTAGCTATTTATTGTTAATTGTGA